CGTGATACCCTCCTACCCCCTGTAGAGCATAGAGAGTGGGCTTGAAATCAAATCCAAGTGCTTGGGATCCCTAGATAGAACCTGACTTTGGGCCCGGTGTCCCGCTCCTTCTGCTGGAGTTCCTCCAGGTAAGGCGACCGACATCTGTCTCAAGACAATCTGCTTCTCCCCCCTCCCCCCAGCTTCACCAGGGCTTCAGGTTGTGCCTGCCTCGGGCGGATTCTTTCTCCGTAAACCGGTGGCCTCGGGCAGCTGTGCCGTCCAAGGTCTGGGTAAGGAACCAAGCGGGAACTTCATCTTGGGGATGAGATGGGTGCCTAAGGAAAGATTCATCCTCCCGATGCTCTCTGGCGTCTTCATTGCATTGTTTTGTTTGTTTGTTGCTCGGCATCTCGAATCCTTCCCCTTGCTCACCTTGCTCCCCCAGACCTCCCGTGTTTTTCATTTTGTGCCCCTCACACTCCCCCCTTCTCTCCCAGTGAATTCGTGAATGGGAGGTAGGGTCTCTCAGTCACCTCCGGAAACCTGGACTTTCCAGCTAAAATAGTTCTTTCTACTCAAGACCAGCTAGTTAGGGTGGCGGGGGTCCCGAGGTGGCTCTTCACTGCCTTGCTGAGCTCAGTTTACTACAATCCCATTGGAGGGGAGTAAAGTTCCCATCTGGAGGGGAGTAAAGTTCCACCATGGCTGGGACTCCGTATCTCCACGTCGTTCGTTGTCCCCCTCGGATGTGGAAGCCCGGCCTCCTGGATGCACCAGCAAATGGACAAAGAAAACCGGAGGTGCGGGCGCTGAGAGAAGGGTCTGCTGTGCAGGGGCAGGAAGAGAGTGCGTGGCGGCTCATGTAAGCCTGTCTTGAGGCTGAAGCTGGGGAAAGACCTAGGTCCGGGTCTGGGTCTTCATGGCAGGATGGGACAGTGTGCACCTGAGGGCCAGATGGTGATCTTTTCAGCCTTTTTTGCCCTTGCCCCCCAGGAATGCGATGCCTTCTGGGTTGTGAGTCTGTGCTAGCTTGGACTCTGTTCTCCCTCGTGTGTGTGTGTGTGTGTGTGTGTGTGTGTGTGTGTGTGTGTGTGTGTGTGTGTGTGTGTGTGTGTGTGTGTTGTACACCTCCCCAAAAGTAAAATAATGATTAACTCTGCAGGGAACTCTACTGGAAATTCTAGCATTCTTCCCAAATTAAACATTACAAGAATTGTCCCGCCCCCTCTATTCCATTGGGTGTTTTTTTCCTGAGCGGAGTGGGCGGAGCATCAACTTCGGGTCAACTAAGGGTTTCCTGCCTCCTCATCTGGTCCAGGCACCCCTAAAGGTTAAGCCCCCCACTTTCCTCCCCAAGTCGTGATGGGGGTTGGATTGGTGTACTAGATCAGAAGCGGACTGCCCGGGCCACTGGCTCCCCAACCCTTCCCCCTAAACCTGAGAAGAGTGGATGGTGGCCCTGTTTGCTGTTGGCCCCAAACATTTAGGCCTTGCTACTCGCCTTGGGGTTTGCTAGGTGGGGCAAGATTCAGGAAGTAAACAAGGCGGCTGGAAGGGTAGGAGAGAGGGTGGGGCGGGAGCTGCTGGGGCTGGATAGCCAGAGTTGGAGTGGCCTGGCTGAGAGGACTAGTTGGTTGGGGGCCCAGTTTCTACACGGGAAGATTTGCTTAGGCCTAGTTTGACTGTTTCAGCTCTCTTGGGCAGGGGCTGCGGGGCCCAGAGCAGGCTCCTATGCCCCACCTTATCTTTTAGGTACCGACAGCTGCTAGTCTTCTCCAGATGAAGGGTGGGGTGGAGGGCTCTGGAAGCTAACCCTAGTGCAGCCGGCACCTGGGCCTCTGACATCAGACTGTAATCTGACTTGAATCCACACACACCCCCCCAATTTCAAACACCTGTCCAGCCGGGTGTTGTTTTCTCACTTTGAGGGAGGGGCACCCCGGCAGAGGAGGACCCCCATTCCTGAAATGAAAGATCAGGTGTGTGGGAGTGGGTGCCAGGTGTTGATGCCCCTTGCTTGGTGACTTGGGCATGCTAAGTGTCACCAGTGTCTTGCTTGCTCTGCTTGGCTCTCCTGGAGTTATGTTGTCAGTCTGTTTGCCTGTCCTCTTGGGTGTTTTGACTCCACTCCTGCCTGATGGTACCTCTCAGGTCAGGACATCCCAGAGTGTGTTCAGAGACCCTCTTCCACGGAGCAATACACAGGAGTCCCCAAGGCCAGATGCATCAGCATACATCCTAGGGTAATTAACAGCGAAGAGAGTTGCAGGTTCCAGACCTAGGCTAGGCAGGACTGGATGCTGCCTGCACATCACCAGGAGGTCGGCTCCAATCCTGATAGGCTCCTGGATCCAGGCCGGGCATTTCCTCCTACCTCCCTGGGTTATAGGCAGGGTGATGGTTTGGGACTAAGGTGGGCAGATGATTAGTCCCACCTGGGCTGGACACTGGCCAAGGGTGGGGAGGATGATGTCAGAGGAGCCTCGGGCTGCTCCTCCCGTCTTCATCTTTCCCCAGCCTGCACCCCTTGCTCCCAGGCTACCTGTAGGTTGGGGAGTCAGGGACTGAGGGCAGAGGCAGGTTGTTTGTGTTCCTCCTCAGCCAGGAAGTCCTATAGATGAGTCAAAGTTGAATGGGGAGCCTGGGGCATAGCTGTCCCGCCCCGCCCTGACTCACCTGTCCCCCAGATCCCTTCATGCCCTCACAGAAGGGTCAAGAGTTTGTCCTATCCTGGTGCCAGGAACCTTCCCAGGTGTCCTGGGCAGCCTCACAGTCCTGATGCAGGGTCTGGAGAACAGGCAAGATACTGGGATTGGCATTTTGTCTGGGTTCTGCCAGGTTCAGCACCATGGGGTCTGCTGGTTCCTGCAGAGAAAGGCTGGAACCTGCCCCACCCCCAACCCCTTGCCTGGTCTCGTCTGTCCTTACTTGTCCTAACTTCTCTGCACCCGTGGGTGCTAAGGCATAGGTGAGACTCTAATGTGTGCCAGGTGCTTTCAGACCAGAGATGGGTTAAGACAGGTGCACAGTAGTGGGGGTAGAGTTCCCAGCACCAGGCTGAGTGTGACAAGTCCAAGAGAACTTCTCATCCATAGGAGGTGGCTTTATCATTGTGGCTTTGGGTAAAAATTGGGTGGGATGAGGAGTCTGGGAAGGCCCACCGAGTTTGTGGGTGCTGGGGTAAGAGCCCCCCAGGCCTCCTGTTTCCACCACAACCTGAGCACATGGTCCTGCCCTCCTGATCCTGTCCTTCCTAATCGCCTCTCTCTATCACTCATCTCTCTGCCAGGTGTTACCACAACAGGCCTGGCAAACTGCATCTGGCAACAGGTGCTAGAACAATAAAGTGCTGGAAAAATCTGGGGCAGAGCCCAGTGGCATGAACAGCCTTTGCCCTGACCCTGTGGCTCCAGCTAGGGACATGTGGCATGGAGCCTACCTCTTCTTTCCCCTGAGCTGGTGTTGCTGCAGGGAGAGCACTGGCATTGGAGTCCCAAGCACCAGACTGAATGCCACTGGGCACATGCGTACTTCCTTCTCAGGACCCCAGTGTCCCTTTCTATGAAGTGGGCGTGCCCTGTATCCCCTCTGAGGGCTCCGAGGAAACTGCAGTTTGAAGGGATCAGCGATAGCACATGGCATCAACATTGTCTTCACAGGTACCATGGAACTGGATCTGAGCCCACCTCATCTCAGCAGCTCCCCAGAAGATGCGTGCCCAGCTCCTGGGACCCCTCCTGAGACTCCTCCACCCCCTGATAACCCTCCAGCTGGGGATGTGAAGCGGTCACAGCCTCTGCCCATTCCAAGCAGCAGGTAGGATCGGACAGTGGGGCTGCATGGGTAGGGAGGTCTGGGGACAGGGAGGCGAGCCAGCACTGACTAACACATAGTGGCTTCCATCCCTCAACTCTGACATAGGAAACTTCGAGAAGAGGAGCTTCAGGTGACCTCGCTACCCTCCATCCCCAACCCGTTCCCTGAGCTCTGCAGCCCGCCTTCACAGAAACCCATTCTTGGAGGTTCCTCCAGTGCAAGGGGGTTGCTTTCTCGAGATTCCAGTCGCCTCCATGTGAGTTGTTTTGGGAAAGGGAACAGTGGGGACAGTGCTGCCCCAGCCCCGGGCAGATGTGGTGTCGCCTCTTTGGTGCAGGTCCCTGAACATAAGTCAGAGAGTAGAGTCCCCCGCCCCTGCCTTGCCCCAAGTAACCTGCAGTTCCTGGGGTACAGGTGGTGAAGGTGTACAGTGAGGATGGGACCTGCCGGTCTGTGGAGGTGGCAGCGGGTGCCACAGCTCGACATGTGTGTGAAATGCTGGTACAGCGAGCCCATGCCCTGGGTGATGAGAGCTGGGGCCTGGTGGAATGCCATCCCTATTTAGCACTGGGTGAGTCGGGGTACAAGGAGCTGTGGGGCGATGTCTTGGGCAAGATAGGTGGCTCATCTGTGAGGCTTGGTTAATTTCTACCAACCCCTGCTTTTCACCCTTGATCTCAGAGCGGGGTGTGGAGGACCATGAGTTTGTGGTGGAAGTGCAGGAGGCCTGGCCTGTTGGTGGAGATAGTCGCTTTGTCTTCCGCAAAAACTTTGCCAAGTATGAACTGTTCAAGAGCCCCCCGGTGAGTGGGAACTGGGTGTACACACACACACACACACACACACACACACACACACACACACTCTAGATCCCTAGCCTGGATTCTTGAGCGTTGATTCCTAACTATTTCTTTCTTCCCTAGCATACACTGTTCCCAGAAAAGATGGTCTCCAGCTGTCTGGATGCACAAACAGGCACATCTCATGAAGACCTCATCCAGGTGAGGTCTGCCTCACCATAGATCCACAATTCTCCCTACCCCCTTACCCCAAGTCATCCAGTGTTTCTACCCTCTGCTGCCATGTGTGATCTGATCTGTGTTTGTTGGTGTCTGCCGCCACCATGGTGACCTTTGCTGGTGAAATGGTGGCAGTCAGTGCTGGTGCAGCACCTCCTGCGGAGGTTTGAGAGGAGGCAAGCCCTTCACCCCTGTTCACATCTGTCCCCAGAACTTCCTGAATGCCGGCAGCTTCCCCGAGATCCAGGGCTTTCTGCAGCTTCGGGGCTCTGGCCGGGGCTCAGGCCGAAAGCTTTGGAAACGGTTCTTCTGCTTTCTGCGCCGGTCCGGCCTCTACTACTCCACCAAGGGCACGTCCAAGGTGAGGTCTTGAGGTCAGCTCTCGCCTGTCATGTACTTCTTCCTCACTAGTGCTTCTTGACCCTTCCATCTTGGGCCCGGGGATCCTCAGCTGCTCTTCCTTCCCCTTGGGCTGGCTGTCTTCAGGCCATGCCAGAATCTATCCATCCCAACCCCTGTTTGGCTCACCTACCCTAGGAATGGCAGTAGAAAACATAGGCGCCTGTGTGTGTGTGTGTGTGTGTGTGAGAGAGAGAGAGAGAGAGAGAGAGAGAGAGAGAGAGAGAGAGAGAGAGAGGAAGGGAGGGAGAGAGAGAGAGAGAGAATGTTAGCCATCACCATTGGTCTCAGGTCTTCAGGACCTTGTTTTTGAAGACAGGGTCCCTACTAGGACCTAGGACTTGCAGATTAGGTCAGGCTGAGTGGCAACCCCACACGGGGATTAGAAGTGTATAGCATTACATCCAGCTCTTTAAGTGGGTGCTGGGGATTAAACTTGGGTCCTCCTGCTTGCACAGCAAGCCTTTTACCAACTGAGCCCTCTCCTCAGCCTCTATCTGCTGTGTGAACATGGGTATTTCCCTGCCTCTCCCTGGTCCTAAACTCTCTTTACCTGGTGGGGCACTAATGTGGAGATAGGACCTACCTGTACCAAGCCCTACTTTCTCACCATGCCCAGGACCCGAGGCACCTACAGTATGTGGCAGATGTGAATGAGTCTAATGCCTATGTGGTGACCCAGGGCCGCAAGCTCTATGGGGTGCCCACGGACTTCGGCTTCTGTGTCAAGGTGAGGACTCAAGCAAGGCCTGGTGTGTGTGGGGGGGCGGTGAGAGCTGTCCAAATTCTAGTGTCCTGCCTATGGCTTGTGAACCCCGTCTTGAGAAACCCAGCCAATTACCGCTATACCTGCACATCTGGGTAGTCCTTGGGCCCTTCTTTGCCCCGTGGCAACTGGGCACAGAATCAGACAGGGGACAGACCACTTCCTCTCTCCCAGCCCAACAAGCTTCGAAATGGCCACAAGGGCCTCCACATCTTCTGCAGTGAGGATGAGCAGAGCCGGACCTGCTGGCTCACTGCTTTCCGTCTCTTCAAGGTAAGACCCCTGGAACAGCAGGGGGGCTGGCCTTGCCTGAGGGAGGTGACATGGCTCTGCCTTCAGGAAGTCTTCCCAGTAAGAGGTCACCATAGCCGGGCTTCTGAGAATACCAGTCAGGAAGGGCAGGGTCAGCCCTACTCTGGAGAAGTCCTGGCCTGAGGGGTGTCACAGCCCATCTCCTAGGCTCTCTTGACCTCAAACCTCTTTTCTTCCCCTGCCTCAAGTATGGGATGCAGTTATATAAGAACTATCAGCAGACTCAGTCTCGTCACCTGCGCCTGTCCTATTTGGGGTCTTCGCCCTTGGTGAGTATACTCAGGGGTATTAGGAGAGGTGAGGATACAGGCTCAGGGCAGCTATTCTGACCCCTCCCTCCTCCTTCTGTCCTTTTTGCAGAGGAGTGTTTCAGATAATACCCTAGTGGCCATGGACTTCTCTGGCCATGCTGGGCGTGTCATAGAGAACCCCCGGGAAGCTCTGAGTGCCGCCATGGAGGAGGCCCAGGCCTGGAGGGTAAGCCCTGCGTGCATCCGTGTTTGCTGCACTGGCTCCCAGTGGGCTTTCATGGAGTGGGAGGGAGGAAGAGGGGTTGGGGAGAGGGTGAGTGCCAGTGGCACTCTGACTCCCATGCCCCCCACTGCAGAAGAAGACAAACCACCGTCTCAGCCTGCCCACCCCATGCTCCGGCTCGAGTCTCAGCGCAGGTAGGTGACAGTCTAGAGTTCTTAGGGTGGATGATGGTGCTACTCTGAGCCTTCTTGGCTTGGGTCAGGCATGTTTTCCCTGAATGACCAGCATCACTTTTCTCCTGACCCCAGCCATCCACCGCACCCAACCCTGGTTCCACGGACGCATTTCCCGGGAGGAGAGCCAGCGGCTAATTGGACAACAGGGTCTGGTGGATGGGTAAGAGGCTGGGCTGGGTGGGGTAACTGACCTGGGGACCAGCAAGACCCTAGGGCAGGTGCAACCAGGAATCCCTGGTAACGTGGTTTTGTCTCCTCAAAGTGTGTTCCTGGTCCGGGAGAGTCAGCGCAACCCACAGGGCTTTGTTCTGTCCTTGTGTCACCTGCAGAAAGTCAAGCATTACCTCATCCTACCAGTGAGTAACTCCCCTATTTATAACTTGGGTTCTCGTAGCCCGGGGAAACACGACTTGAAGTCCTACTATGCGCCTCCTTTTTCCCTGTACAAGAAACGGGGGTCAATTGCTGGTCCCAAGGGCTGCTCCTCCGCTCGGGACGGCTCCCTGACCTGCCCTCTGGCCACACCACAGAGCGAAGATGAGGGTTGTCTCTACTTCAGCATGGACGACGGCCAGACCCGTTTCACAGACCTGCTGCAGCTGGTGGAATTCCACCAGCTGAACCGAGGCATCCTGCCCTGTGTGCTGCGCCATTGCTGTGCCCGTGTGGCCCTCTGAGGCCACTGGAGCCGTTACAGCCCATGGGGCTGCCCACCACCCTTCTGTTCAGTGAACTTGGTGCAGGTGGATGGCATGATGAACTACTGGAGCTCCCCCCATACTCCATTCCACTTTTCTCCTGTGTCTTTACCTCCCTCAGGCAACAAAACATCCCCCGACCCTGTTCATCCCTGAGTCCTGTCCCCAAGGGAGGCATTTGTGGTCCTCTCCTCAGGAGCTCCTGAGGCACTGTTCCAGCTCGGGGCATTATGCAAGAAGAAAGCGCAGCCCCGGTGGTCTAGTGCCCCACACCCTGTACAGACAAAGAGGCCAGTTGATCTGCTCTGTTTTATACTAGTGACAATAAAGATTATTTTTTGATACACCCATGAGTTCTGTCTGGCAAGAAGAGACAACAAGAGGACCCTCAGAGGTGAAGGTGTTGGTCAACCAGAATATGCCCTGAGCACAAAATTGGTGTTAGTGGCCTGGGAGCTTTCATATCCTAGCAAGGACTCTGGCACAGTCAGTGAGTGCTAGTTAAATGGATGAGTGGACAATGGGTAACAAGGGACTGTGCTTTTTTTTTCATTCTTTTTTATTTTTATTTTTGTTTTTCAAGACAGGGTTTCTCTGTGTAGCTTTGGAGCCTATTCTGGCACTTGCTCTGTAGACCAGACTGGCCTCAAACTCACAGAGATCCATCTGTCTCTGCCTCCAGGGTGCTAGGATTAAAGGTGTGTGCCACCACCGCCCGGCCTCATTCTCTTTTAAAAAGGACTTTTTAAAAAGTATGTATTAGATCTATGTGAGGAGTTGAGTATGTGTACATGTGAGTGCAATTGCTCAAGGAAGCCAGAAGGGGGAGTTGGATCCCTTGGAGCTGTAGCTACAGGCAGCCAGGAGCTGTCTGCTGTGGATTCTGGGAACCAGACTCAGGTCTTCCGCAAGAGCATTACCTGCCTTTAATGAATGAGCCATCTCTTCAGCCCCAAGGGAGTGGGCTTTTCTGACAGCACTTAGATGTAACAGAGTCTGGGAATCAGAGATGAGCCAGATACGGTAGTATGTGCCTGGAATCTCAGCACTTAGGTAGTAGAGGTAGGAAGAACATTTCTGGGCCAGCCTGGGCTATGTGATACCCCATTTGCCCACTTCCCTTCTCCCCACAAACAAAAACAAGATGAGTCAACAAGAAGTCTTGGACTAGTTGGTGGACAGTGAGCCCTGACAAACAAACACCACAGCGGAGAGAATGGTCTCACTTCCCACAAGCCCCTGTGTCTTCCACCAGCTCTTTCCCCCACATGCCCCTGTGTCTTCCACCAGCTCTTTCCCCCACAAGCCCCTGTGTCTTCCACCAGCTCTTTCCCCCCACAAGCCCCTGTGTCTTCCACCAACCCCTCTCTCTTTCCAGGTCCAGGTTTGCTTTCTGTCCTTATCCCTCACCCAGAAAGGGGATAAATCCGCAGCCCCACGCCCATCACCCTCTCAGCCTTCGCTTCCAGAATGAGCTTTTGCAAAGTGCAAACTTGTCCTCTGCTCAGCCAGGCTACATTTTCCCCAAGAGTTTCACGCCATCTAACCCGATAGAAGCTTTATAATAAGTGCATCCACCGACACACTCAGTATATACTAAGTGAGTCCAATGGCAACACCTGCACCTCCTGCTTGAGTTGCTCAGAGACGTCTCCTAAATTGTGAATCCCAAGCAGACATTATTTTGCCAGAAGAAGTCAAACTTGACTCTGGTTCTGTGGACTTAATAACTAGTTTACCAGAAATATGAGGGCCAGAGGAACACATGAATTGACACATGGGGACAGTTAGCAAAACCTGGACTTGGAAACTACAGAAGGGGTGGCTCAGTTTCTACTTCAACAATAACAACAGAAATGACAAGAAAAGCAAAGACGGGGAATGTCTACATTCTAAGAAATTCAGATGTGACAACCAAATGATTCAGATCCAAACTCACTGTAAAAATACGTTCATGAGCAATTGGGGGATGTTTTAACTTTTGTGATATTAGGGAATATGGTTAAGTTTTAGAAAAAATGTAAGGTACGAAAATGGCATGGTAGCTACCTCCCCCCACCCCCTGCCCCCACCTCTCGAAAAGACATGTTCTAGCTGCATGGGATTGTGAAGTGTAATCCCAGCACTGTTCTGGCAAGCTCCTGGCAAACCTAGGCTACATGGTGAGACTATCTCAACAAATACCAACAACCCAGAAGGGCGTTGGGGGACAAAAGGGAGGGAGACTCATTTGAAGTATTTCAGGTGAGACATGTCTCGGTTTTCCTGAGACAGGGTCTCACTCTGTGTTTCTGGTTAGGCTGAAATTTGCTAGGTAGACCAGGCTGGCTAGCTTGGAACTCACAGAGATCTACCTGCCCCTGGTAGACCTCTGTCCCCCATCCTTGTCTTAGTTAGGGTTTCTATTGCTGTGAAGAGACACCATGACCACATCAGCTCTTATAAAGGAAAACATTTAATTGAGATGGCGGCTTACAGTTTCAGAGGCTCAGTTCATTATCATCATGGCGGGGAGCAGGGCGGCGTGCACACAGACATGGTGCTGGAGGAGGAGCTGAGAGTCCTACACCTTGCAGGCAACAGGAAGCCAACTGAGACACTGGGTGGTACCCTGAGCATAGGAAACCTCAAAGCCCACCCCACAGTGACACATTTCCCACCCCACAGTGACACATTTCCCCCAACAAGGCTATACCCATGCCAACAAAGCCACACCTCCTAATAGTATCATTCCCTGTGAGATTATGAGGGCTGAATTACATTCAAACTGCCACAGTCCCCAAACTCCAGTGCGGAGATGAGAAGCATGTGTCACCATGTCCAGCTTGGCTTCATTTTTCAAAAGACCCATATTTGTTGATGCCCTCACTACTTTTCATATGTTTGAAAAAGATCTCACAACTTTTTAAAAACCTTTCTAACCCTCTGAGACAGACTAAGCACTAGGTAAAGGAATAGTTACTCTTCCAGCTACATCACTGTCCTTGTTCAAATGCCAGCTCTCCTATGAACTGGCGGGGCGGGGGAAAGGGGGCAGACTGCAGGACAGTCATGATGTCTCACTGGCTCTGGGTGCCAGGTCTGGGCACATTCTGCTTCCCTTTAGTTGGCTTTCAGGTGGAAATCCTCAACTTCAGGGTAGACCTTTCTAAAGGGACTCTTCAGGTTCTATCTCTACAGTCAGCTTGGCCTGAGGTGACCTCAAAGGTCCAGCCATTTCAAGGAGCACTTGGGCTAAGTTCAGCAGTATTGCTGGCCAACTGGGACAAAGACAACCCACGCTTGCCTGATGCCAGGCTAGGGAGCTTGGAACCAGGCCTGACAGAGAGAGACAAAGAGACCCCTTCCACACTGCAGCCTGTTGCCTGCTCGGACCTCCCCCGCAGAGCTCACTGTGGCCCAGATCTCACTGCTGTTCTGAAGGACTTGGAGCAAGGATCAGTGCCTTCCACAGCTGGACACCTGCCATGGCCCCCAGAACTAGCCCTTCTATTGGCTGTTCCCCAAGCTTGGAACTAGGAGTGTACTGTCCATGAATGCCCAGTGTCACTCCTGAGGTATTCCTGCCAAGGTCCCAGGAGAGGGGACAAGATGAGTCATCTTTTAAGCATGTCTGAGGAGTCAGGCTGCCCCCAAAGGAACCCAGTGTCTCCTTAGCACCTGAGGTACTGGGCAGGGGATTATGCCCCTTCTATGTCAACCAGCCAATCAGAATCTCTGAGACTGGTATACCTTCCATTTTACACATAGGAAACTGAGTCTCAGAGTGCATGACCCACCTGGGGTCACTGGGAAAGTTAGAAACAACCAGCCCAGGCTGCAGGTGGTGGATGCCATCCTTTTCAGCCCAGGAGGAGGAATCGAAGGGCCAACAGCTGGGAAGGATGATGTCTGCCACCTGGTGGGAGGAGAGAGCCCACTCCTGAATGTTGTCCTGTGACTTCCATTGCTACACAATCACCATGGCACTCTAAATAAATAAATAAATGTAAAAAAAATTGTTTTGGGCCTGGAGAGATGGCTCAGAGGTTAAGAGCACTGACTGCTCTTCTAGAGGCCCTGAGTTCAATTCCCAGCAACCACATGGTGGCTCACAACCATCCGTTATGAGACCTGGTGCCCTCTTCTGGTGTGCAGATATACATGGAAGCAGAATGTTGTATACATAATAAATAAATAAAATCTTTAAAAAAAATTGTCTTGAGGTCTTTCAAAGAGGCCCAGTGGGTAAAGGCACTTGTTGCCAAGCCTGACATCCCAACCAATCACCAGGACCCAACTGCGGCAAATTGTCCTCTGGCCACACACACACACACACACACACACACACACACCATGGCATGAGTGCAAAGCTCACACACATGCACACTAAAAAACAGATAAACTTACAATAAATTATAATAAAATTATAACAAACAAATATAATTAAACCAACCTCTCATATATTGGCATTTATGAAAGAGCTGGATTATGAAAGAGATGGCAGGAGGGAGAATATCAATCTTACTAGTCCAGACTGGCCTCTAAACTCGCAGTCTTCTTGCTTCCGTCTTTAGTCTCCTTTAGGGTCACCGTACGTATATCCCATTAGGGTATCGGTGGTGGAAACGGGCCTTGTGATTGGAGCTGAGGGAAAGCTGTGTGGGAGTGGCATGTGTTGCTTGCACACCACGCACATGTGATAACGGAAGGCTTATACATGCTTTAACCTGCCAGTTTCTAAGGCCCGAGCCACGTCCTCCAGCACACAATAGAACTTGCCCCCTCCCACCATTCTGTCTGGGTACCTGCCCATCTTTTCCAAAGGATCCCAGCAAATTCAGCTTTCGCCAACTCTGGCCTACCTGGCTCTCTTACTGTCATTAGACCGTATACAGATAGGGTCCACAGTTTTGGCTTCCCTCCTCCCAAGCTGTGGAGCCACCGAAGCCCACACATCTAAGGGATGAACTCGGTGGGGGTTTTTCTGGGGCGAGGGGAGGCGAAGGGACCTGGAGTGAGTTTAGTAAGAAGAGGCCCCAGACTTGTGGGGCCAGGTTGGGGTTGGAGAGCGCATGCACGCAGGGTGCCACCCACACTGGTGTGTGCAAGTTGATCCGGTGCCCACAGCTACATCTGTCGCCAACTCAGCCTGCACGACGA